AACTTGTCAAGAAACGACGCAACTAGCATGTCAACTTGGTCAAAATGACCCAACTAGCACCACAACTTGGTCAAAAACGACCCAACTAGCACTTCAACATGATCAAAATGACCCAACAACTTGGTCAAAAACGACCCAACTAGCACTTCAACATGGTCAAAATGACCCAACTAGCACCTCAACATGTTTGAAGAAACGATCCAAATAGAAACTCAGCTACACTACCAACTAGTTAACAACTAAAGTTGTTGACACTCAATAGGTCATCGAGCCCCAACAACAGAGCCACCAGGAGCACCACCAAGGCTGAGCTAGAGCGGAACGACAGAGCTGGAGAAGCCTAGCGAGGCCTCCAGGGAGGAAACGACACCAAAGACGCCAACGATGCTAGCCTAATAAGGGAAGGTTTTCACCCATAAACACCGGCAGGGCAAGAGAAAAGGTACGAAGAGGACACCTCCATGGAGGAAGCGGCGTCCTCGGACATCGTTGTCCAGGCCTTAGCCCTAACCTCGAACAACCTACCAGGCGTGGCCCATCAGGGCCCCCGCAGAGGATGCATGTTCCGAAGGAAGGCGCCTGCGTCGAAACGCAGGCGTCTCGCAACACTAGACGCCACCAAAGGGCGCAGCAGGATAACAACCACCTCGGGAGGCAGTAGCAAGAAGGCCCAACCGTTGACCCAAGCCACCATCCTAGCCTGCCGGAGCCCGGGCCAACCAGCATTAGATTCGACCACCATCGCCCGTATCTGGTGAAAGCTCTAGTTTGGTTTTGGTGAATTGATGAAACCCTAAGTGATAACCTAGTTTATCAAGTGATCATGAGATAGGTAGCACACTCCAAGTGGTGAAGCAAATGAAGATCATAGCATGATAAAGATGATGGCATGGTGATGATCAAGTGCTTCGACTTGGAAAGAAGAAAGAGAAAAACAAAAAGCTCAAGGCAAAGGTATAATTTGTAAGAGCTATATTTTGTTTTAGTGATCAAGACACTTAGAGAGTGTGATCACATTTATGATTGATAGCCGTACTATTAAGAGGGGTGAAACTCGTATCGAAATGCGGTTATCAAAGTACCACTAGATGCTCTAACTCATTGCATATGCATTTAGGATCTAGTGGAGTGCTAACACCCTTGATAATATTTGTGTAAATATGCTACCACGTGTGCACAAGGTATTTGTGTAAATTCGGCGCTTTCGGGAAAATGAAATGTCTATTTTCTATTGCGCCGGATGCAAAATTCTTGGTGGTTGGCACACTTGAGCAAGGGTGAAGAAGTAAGAGTTGAAATGGAGTTGATCAAAATGATGCTGGCGTCGGTCCAGTGACCAGACGCTGAATCAGCTTAATCGGACGCCGATTTTGCTGCGTCCGGTCATACCGACTTCAGCGATACAGTGGCTAGAGTTGAGCACCGGACGGCTTGCGTCCGGTCAAGGTGGACGGACGACGCGTCCGTCCGTCGAAAAAACATGCCTCGGGAGCTTCTTGAAACGACCGGACGCCGAGGCTTCAGCGTCCGGTCGATTCTTATCGAGCGTCCGGTCAGCTTCGCGACCGTTGAAATCTGACGAACAACATTTGAAGCAGGGGACACGTGGCGTGAATCACGTGACCGGACGCTGAGGGCCAGCGTCCGGTCAATCGGACCGGAGCGTCCGGTCACCCCGCGTTGTGCCCAGTGAAGGGGTACAATGGCTCTATTTCACTAGGGCTCTATTTATAGCCCCATGGCCGGCTCAAGGGAGCTCTCTTGCACATTTTCATTGACATAGCAACCTTGTGAACCTAGCCAAAGCCCTCCCACTCATCTACATCATTGATTTATCATCATAGTGAGATTGGGAGTGAATCCAAGTGCATTGCTTGAGTGATTGCATCTAGAGGCACTTGGTGATTGTGTTTTGCTGCGGATTTCGCTTGTTACTCTTGGTGGTTGCCGCCACCTAGACGGCTTGGAGCAGCAAGGATCGTTGAGTGGAGGAGGTGATTGTCTCCGACTCCGATCGTGGTGATTGTGAGGGTTCTTGACCTTTCCCGGCGGGCGCCAAAAGGTACTCTAGTAAATTGCTTGTGGCTTGTGTGATCCTCATCTTGTGTTGGTTGTGCGGCACCTTATTGAGGGTTTGGCGAGTGATGCCAATCAGTAGCGTGAACCTCAAGTGAGTGAATCGCCATAACGAGGACTAGCTTGCTTAAGCAAAGCAAGTGAACCTCGGTAAAAATCATTGTGTTCATCATTTGATTCCGAGGTGATTGGTCTACATTGGTATTCATTATTGTGATTGATTGGTTCCTACCACTACACGGCGGTATAACCCTCTTGATCACTCTCTTTACTTTACCGCAAACTAGTTGACAAGCTCTTTAGTGTAGCTAGTTGTGAGAGCTTGCATGCTTGGTTGGTGTGGCTCTTTAGTTAGCCTTTGAGAGCACACTAACATAGGGTAGTGTCATTGCTCTTGTGTGAATTAACACTATCTAAACTAGAATTGTGGTAGGTGGCTTGCATTTTTGAGTAGGCTAGCGCAACACTCATTTCGCCTCATAATTGTCTAACCATTTGATTAAGTGTTGTTGTAGAAATTTTTATTAGGCTATTCACCCCCCCCTCTAGCCATTAGGACCTTTCATCTGGCCTGACGAGGATGCAGATCTGGCCACCCCAGTGAAGACCCCCCCACGCCAGCGTGGGATCCGGCTGAGACCGGCCAACTCCACCATGGAATTAGCCAGAAGCAAGGGAGAGAAGGGGCGGGAAGGAGAGGACCAGGGAAGACCCCGATCGCCCACCAAGCGGCCTCGCAGATCCGGCCGCCGACCACTAGAGCCAGCCACCTCCATGCGGATCTACTGTCAGACACACAAAGCGGCCGATCCAGGCGGGGGGGATGCCAAAGCAGTGCATACTGGACACCCGAGGGCCACCCAGAGACACGAGCAAGCTGCAAGGAGCCCAGGCCACCGTTGGCCAAAACAACGCCGAAGAACACCGAATTCAGCCTCCAAGCCACCGGATCCAGCCATTCCCCGAGCATGGGGAAGAGGCATGGGGAGGGTTGAGATATGCCTCACCGCCGCCATCCTCAGCATCCACCATGCCTCCAGCAGGCAGCTCCAGCGGCGGCGGAGGCCGCACTAGGGTTGACGGAGGGAAGCACTTGCTGGGTCACCGAGGCGCTCGAGCCGTCCGAAGCGGACGCTGAGGGGGCGAGAGACTTCCGCATGGGGAAAGTAAGAGAGCAAAAAGTAACGCAAGGTCTAAATGTTTATGACATCCATGAATGAATAATCTGAGAAGTGAAAACTATGTATCAAAAAGCATACATGAAGGAATAATAGATTTGATCAACTTTCACCGTCTGCCTAAAATAACACAAATATGATGAATGACTCCAGAAGTCCTAGAAGATCCTGGGTAAATCAGTAGTCACCATCACTCTCGCTGTCGGTGTCGAACCCACCAAAGCTCTCCTGCCCACCAATGAACATCTCTCTACTTGGATGAGTAACCGCAACCCTTTGATTCTGACAGCCCATGCAATAACCTGAACAAAAGTTATAATCAGTAAATCCATGTCCCTTAAAAAGCCGGTGACTAATCCACAAGATACATTGATGAGATAGAATAGAGGCCAGTAAACAGCAAGGAATATGGTTTCTGAAGTTCGCAGACTGGGTAGGATTATTTCATAAAAAATTTAGAAGATACCACAGGAACTCTTAAAAAAAACTGATAACATACAGGGACTCCTAAATGCCGAAGTCCAAACTTTTTCCTATGATTTGTCTTCATAGCTATAAGTCAGAGTCATTATATTCAAAAAATTCTTCTAAGTATCATGCGCAAAACATGTCTAAGATTGCTTCTGAAGAAAACACATGTCCAAACTACACTAACAACCTAATGAATAAAAAGCTATTCCTGTAAATATTTCTGTAATGATAGAAATTCTTATATCAAATTTGAAACCAAAAAAAAAGAATCCAATTTCTGGTAAATCATCAGTAGGAGCATGTCAAATGTTTGAATATGGAACTCAGAGCTTATATAAAGAAAACACAAGCACATTGATTTAGGCTTAGGGGGGCTATGGCATCCTGCATGTTCTTTGTTATTGTGTACTCCTTCCATTTTTATTTACATGGCGTGATATATTTTGGTGGTTGTTTCAGATTTACCAAGTTGCAGACAGTATTTGCATAATAATAAGGCAAATAGATTCAGTTATATGCAATATCGGTAACCAAAAACAGCATAGGCTCAGCAAGCCAAAACAACATAAATGCAGTAGGCAATAATAAATCTTGAGAATAAAGAGACTGGATGGGAGCAAATAGAAGGATAGACAAACCATCTGGACCAGACCCAATTGTGCAGCACTGGTAAACATCGTTCTCGTTCTCAAGATTGGCATCCACTTCCACAAAACAGAACAGGTCATCATTGGTTGGAGAACAAGCAGTAAAGTTGTAGTGACAGTAGGCTGATCCATATTCAAAGAATATGCACTTCTCAGTGATCTCTCCAAGCTCATACTTTCTGTCTGGATATCTCTTCTTGATGATACGCAAAGCCATCTGGACATTCTTGACATGCCTCTCTCTTCAGCCCTCGCCAGACGATCCTCTCTGATGACCTCCTTCCGCAGCTGCTTATCAGATGGTGCCTTCTCAGGGGGGGACTGTTTCTTTCGCCGCTGTAATTCTGCTTCGACCCGTTGACGCCGCTGCAGTTTCTCATGAAGTAGTTGTCTCTCCTCCCTGCTTAGTCATGCCTTCTCTTCCTTTGCCTTTTCATCTAGTACAGGCTTGGGAAATTTCCATTTACCTATCAGCAAGGGTGCTGGTTCTGTAAACCGCCAGCTGTGTGCACTAGGTATCAAGATGCATACATGAAGGAATAATATGTAGATCAAGTTTCCCCGTCTCTCTAAAATATAACACAAATATGATGAATGACTCCAAAAGCCTTAGAAGATCCTGGGTAAATCAGTAGTCTGGATCACTCTTGCTGTCGGTCTCGAACCCACCAAAGCTCTCCTGCCCACCAATGAACATGTCTCTACTTGGATGAGTAACCGCAACTCGTTGATTCTGACAGCCCATGCAATAACCTGAACAAAAGTTATAATCAGTAAATGCATATCTCTTAAAAAGCCGTGACTAATACACAAGATACATTGATGAGATAAAATAGAGGCCAGTAAACGGCAAGGAATATGGTTTCTGAAGTTCGATTATTTCATAAAAAGTTTAGAAAATACCACAGGAACTCTAAAACCACAAAAAAAAAAAAAAAAAATGATAACATACAGGGACTCCTAAATGCCGAAGTCCAAACTTTTTCCTATGATTTGTCTTCACAGCTATAAGTCAGAGTCATTATATTCAAAAAGTGCTTCTAAGTATCATGCACAAAACATGTCTAAGATTGCTTCTGAAGAAAACACATGTCCAAGCTACACTAACAACCTAATGAATAAGAAGCTATTCCTGTAAATATTTCTGTAATGATAGAAATTCTTATATCAAATTTGAAACAAAAAAAAGAATCCAATTTCTGGTAAATCATCAGTAGGAGTGTGTCAAATGTTTGAATATGGAACTCAGAACTTAAAAAGAAAACACAAGCACATTGATTTAGGCTTAGGGGGGCTATGGCATCCTGCATGTTCTTTGTTACTGTGTACTCCTTCCATTTTTATTAACATGGCGTGATGTATTTTGGTGGTTGTTTCAGATTTACCAAGGCTCGCGTCAATTTCAATGCACTAATGGTCTAGTTTACCCTATCAACTTCACAACCAGGCTCTGCCCATGCATGTATCTGTGCTGCTCTGCCAGGCTGAGTATGCAGACAAAAAAGGCGCCATATTAACTGCACCAGCAAGTGCACACACAGAAGTAAATGTGATAATTTGGTCAGTTTGGCTACTCATTGGTCTTTGAGCCCAAACGACAATGCACGTCCTGTATGTAAAAACAGATAGAGGGAACATTGTACAGAGTAAAAACCTAGTTGCAGACAGTATTTGCATAATAATAAGGCAAATAGATTCAGTAATATGCAATATCGGTAACCAAAAACAGCATAGGCTCAGTAAATCAAAACACAAATGCAGTAGGCAATAATAAATCTTAAGAATAAAGAGACTCGATGGGAGCAAATAGAGAAGCATAGACAAACCATCTGGACCAGACCCAATTGTGCAGCACTGGTAAACATCGTTCTCGTTCTCAAGATTGGCATCCACTTCCGCAAAACAGAACAGGTCATCACTAGTTGGAGAACAAGCAGTAAAGTTGTAGTGACAGTAGGCTGATCCATATTCAAAGATGGTGCACTTCTCAGTGATCTCTCCAAGCTCATACTTTCTGTCTGGATATCTCTTGTTGAGGACGTGCAAAGCCATCTGGACATTCTTGACATGCCTCTCCTCAGCCCTGGCCAAACGATCCTCTCTGATCACCTCCTTCCGCAGCTGCTTATCAGGCGGTGCCTTCCCTGGGGGGAACTGCTTCATTCGCCGCTGTAATTCCTCTTCGACCCGTTGACGCCGCTGCAGTTTTTCATGGAGTAGTTGTTTCTCCTCCCTGCTTAACCGTGCCTTCTCTTCCTTTGCCTTTTCATCTAGTACAGGCTTGGGAAATCTCCATTTACCTGTCGGCAAGGGTGCTGACTCTGTAAACCGCCAGCTGTGTGCACTGGTGTCATAGACTTTGTTCTCCTTCTCCATGATGGCTTGGTGCTCCAAGAGGAACTTACTCTTTCCCTGACATTCAGTTGTCCACGGTGGTTCCTGGTAACCACAAGTTTAACGGGTTAGTGCCAAGTAGTAACATCTCTAGTTTACCAGTCATGCACAACTAGGCATACATCAAAGTTGTGAGATTTTTACTTTTCCCTGCAAATTTCTACGCTGAAACTATTTAGTAAAATCTGACTTCAGAAAATCACTGAAGCCGTAAAGTGCCCTAAAATACCTTCCAAAAAAAAGTGCCCTAAAATTACTCAGTAAAATCGCATTATACATAACCAACTGAATCCCTGGGGTGAGGGGAAGGGGGGGGGCTTACTGCGATTTCCACGCCACCGTCGCCGGGGTGGCGGCCATCTCAACCTGCACCATTGAGCGATGCTGGTGCCCGGATTCGTAAAACCTGCAAGCCTCAATCACACCGTGCGTTGGTGGTGTACTGGTGTTTATAGGCCGCGAGGAATCCGGGCAAGAACAGAGGAGGGATCAGAGTCGGGGTGGGATTGGGGAATTGATTTGCCGCGGAAAGAGGGGAAGCTTTCCGGAATCGATTCAAACTTTCCCCGACTCCTTTTCATCAATGGACTCCCATAAATTTCTATGAAGAAGTGTAGTTAGTTCAACAAATTCCTACTTCTATATCAGATGTTTGGGTTTTGCAAACCTCTAAAGACATGTAGGAGGGAAATGATATCCCTGCTCCGACCACGGCAGGACCTTTTACTAAAAATTATTACTGGATTTATCTAATACATCATCTAATCTAATTAAAGAATAGATTTTTTCTTCCTCTCTCACTCTTTCCCTTGAAGGTCCAAAAATAGAGAACGAATAAAGTGGAATAAACTATCCAAAAGTAGAGAGTGAAGTGGGATAAAAAACTACTATATTTGGAGTCATTTATAGAGTTTGTTGGAGACATTTTTCCATTATCCATTAAATTAAATCCATTATCCATTAAATTTAATTTAAATCATTAAATTTAAATGAACACACATGAAAAGCTATTGTATTTGGAGTTATTTACCGAGTCTGTTGGAGATAGTTTTCCATTATCCATTAATTAAATCCATTATCCATTAAATTTAATTTAAATCATTAAATTTAAATGAACACACACCTACCGTCATTACATTTACGCTTTCGTTCTCGTTTCGAGTAAAAGGATTAACCCGGGTTGATGGGATGGACTATAGAAGTCTTATATGTTAGTCTATCCAACCTTTAATAATCAAGGTGGAATTAAATTCTCCATAATATCTCATTAACATGCACATGGTCTACTATAGGGTAAATTCTAAACTGGCTGGATGTGACAGTTAACCTCTTGAGATGCTCTTACACTTCTCACTTTGCAAAACCTTTGATGACATCACACTGTCGATGTCATTGAATAGCGGCACTAGCCAGATCATGGCACAACACACGTACAGCTACATGGCATGGCTTACACTTTTCTTAAACACAACAATTACTTATAATAGCCATATATTTAAGTTGATTCAATATCATGTCAATTTCCTACGTAGGATTACTCCTTTATTGTAATAGCATTTATTATCAGTTTTGAAATTTATTTGACTTAAGGTTGAACCAAGCCTAATTAAATCCAATAAAAATTGTTAGCTCATTATTATTCGCGCGAGCACCGTAAAATAATTTGTATGTCTCGTTCCAAAGCATGTGCTACATATTTGCTAGTATCTTCTAGTTTGATTATACGAAAATGCATTCAACTATTAGTCTATTGATACTTATTGCACACATCACAAATGTTAATATATATTTCTATATATTTAGTTAAATTTAAAAAGTTGACTTCTGAAGAAACAAAACATGCAATTATTTTAAGAGAAACAGAGTATTTACCGTCTCACTTGGCTCTTATTTACCTCCCACGGCGCACCGTTCATCTGCTCTGCACCTTCTGCATGTGGCCTGCTGCTTGGTCGGAAGCAGCTTGAGGAATCCAGTAAATTTTTTGATTGTTAGCCAATTTAATTTCTTAACCAATATTATATTTGGAGTCTTAAGTGTTGGATTTAATTGGGTCTGTCACATTTTTATTTAGTAATTAAATAAAACAATTCCAAGACTGCAGTTAACGCTAGGTATCATATGCATAGGTCCTTTATGTAGTGTAACTGGTAGTTTAACGAGTGTTAAGTGCATGATGACTACAATGTGCCCGTTACTAGTTACAGATAATTGATTTGCTAGCTTCTTAAGTTACTGGTGACAGACCATGCTATGATGATCGCTATCTCTTCATGCACATAGCTCTTCATCTTCGTATTCCTTTGTTGTAGCATAAAAGGGGCACTGCTTCTCTTGTTCGCGAAGAAGAACACATAGCCAAGAACACCGCCAAGATGTTGTTGTGCTGCTCTCTGCCATCTCCGTTTCGACCTCCTGTGCGCAAAGTTGTCAGAAGAGCAGGTCTCCAAAACTCTGTCCGCTCTTGCATGGGTAAGCAGACGATCAAGTTTTTCAATAGTGCATTAGTGCGACTGCTTGCTTCTTCACGCTCCTATTCTTGGTGTTCGAGTACGTCATTTTTGGTGTGTTCAAGTACGAGATGACGGTGATCGACTACTTTCACTACTTCTCAGTGGCTTCCAATTCATGACGTCACTGTCTCCTTCCCGCTGACAGTGGTCTTGACATGATAGGTACTGCGATATCTATGTGCTGCATCGAAAGGAACGACTATACATCAACAAAATCCACTAGTGGAAACGGCTCTGGTGCCGTTGGGTCTGGGTATGCTACTGCATCGACCCATCTTTTATTTTTTATTATTAAAATCATGGTTAGTATAATATTCATTAACTCGTCTACAATTAGATCACACAAGCACGTCTGATGTCACAAACATGTTGTTAATCTTTTTCTGGATTAAAGTATACCTAAATTTGCATATTCTAGCAATCCAAAAACTTGATAAGCAATTTTCAGTAGTTGGCTTTGCGAACACGCTAAAAACTTTTGAGGGCACACGTTATAAGAGATGGCGTCATAGGTGTATGCTATGGTTGACCACCATGCAGTACTATTTTATTGCTGAACCTAGAGCGATAGGGCTGCATACTCCTAAGGAGGAGCGTGGGCTCCATGATGCTGACACTATGTTCAAGGGGGCAATAATCAGCGTGCTCAGGGACACCATAGTTGATGCATACATGTGGTTGCCTACTTGAAAGGAAATATGGGATGCACTTGAGGCCAAATACGGAGTTTCTACTGCTGGTTGTGAGAGAATTTGATGAACTAGGCAAATTATCATGAGAGAAACATTATTATTGCTCAAACATAAGGGAGGAGAAAAGATAGTGCAAACCAAATGTATCAATGAAGTCCGCAGGAGATCATCCTTTGATGGGGTCGGCCATCATCTTCTATTGTCCTCTTGTTCTTTCCAATTACCTAAGTATTCTTATGCACACAACCAAATTGATGAGATAAAAAGGGCTTGATTGATACACGTCGAGCAAAGCAAATTTTATTTCTCAAATTAAGTGACCATAAAGGTTCCATTTTTATTCTAAGAATTGAACAAGCTCTAAACTAAGATTTCTAAGAACTCGATTACATAAAGCTCCTCGACCATGTTGATTTCGTGTTCAAGATAAACCTTCAAGCGATGACCATTTACCTTAAAGGTGTTACATGTATCATCTAGGAAGGTGATGGCCCCATGAGTTGTGGTGTCTATGACCTTGAAAGGTCCATCATACTTGCTTCGCATTACGTTTACCTTGTCCAAATAGCTTTACCCTTGAATTGAGTAGTAGAATGTTATCCGAACTTCTTGTGATTGATTCGCTTATCATGCCATTTTTATGTTCTCTTGTTGTAAATCCAAGAGTTATGATAAGTCTTTTTCTCTTTGCTCTTCAAGTTCAGCTAGTTTTATTTGACAATTCTTTCTATCTTGGTGGAGATCCATGTGTTCATTTCTTGACTGCCAAATGGGCCCTGGATTCTAATTTGACTGGCAAATGACATATTTTTTCATATACAAACTAAAAAAGGTGACATACCTATGGGCATCTTATATGCAATTTGGTATGCCAAGAGTGCATTGGGAAGATTGTACTTCCATTTCTTCCCCCTCTTGTTAATGGTCTTCTTCTTGTTAATATCTTCTGCAGAATGTTCATGACTTTGTTTCTTCGATGTTTCAACTTCACTTTTTTGGGATGATATGGAGTTGCAATGTTGTGTTTGGCCCCATGCTCCGCCAGGTACTGCTAGAAGGTCTTGTCAAGTGAAGTGTGGCCCTCCATCACTTATGACCATCCAATGTGTGCCAAAGCATGGTAATTTCACTTCATGAAACATCTTCTTGGAGTGCTTGGAGTTGGGATGATATTGCTTCTACCCATTTGGACACATAGTCTACTTGCACCAAGATGTAGTCATCATCTCCGTACTTAGGGAATGGTCCCATGAAGTCGATTCCACAGATGCCAACCAACTCCACTTGAAGGTTGTTCATTAGGGGCACTGCATCCTCAACGTTGATGTTTACATGTTTCTTGCATCTGATGCATCTTCTGACAAACTACTTTGTATTATGATACATCATTGGCCAAAAGAAACCACTTTGCTATATCTTAGTGTGTGTTTGGAATGCTCCATGATGCCCTACATATGGTGATGCATGGCATCTTTCTATGATTTTTGTGGATTAAACCATTGGGATACATGTCTGTACCCATCAACGTAGACCCAATATAGGCACAAATCATCCCAGATGTGGAAACGACTATCGTGCTTAAGTTTCCTTTTAGTTTTCCCTTGATGCAACATAGCATGGAACTATATAGTTTACAATATTTACATACCATAGATCAAAGTCGGTTACCTTGAGAAGGGTGTCATCTCTCGCATAACAAATAATAGGTAACTCATGTGTATCTTTATATCGAAACCTAGACAAATGATCTATCGAATTTCAACACCTTTTTTATCTC